CCCTAAAGCCATACAGTTTCCAGCAAAATTCAATTATGATACGGCTGAAAAAAGGATGTTGCCCTTAGTTTTGTCGTGGGCATTCACCGTCCATAAAATGCAGGGCAGCACCGTCGACCATGCAGTAGTATATTTGGGCTCAAAATTGTTTGAGGAAGGACAAGCATACGTGGCTCTAAGTCGAGTCAAGTCTCTGGACGGGCTATGTATTGAGGAATTAGATTGTACTAAATTATCAGGTAAGAAACCATGTAATAATGATGCACTGAATGAATTAAATAGAATGAGGAATATTCGGTAAACAATTTTACTAAATACTAAAAACAAGAAAATAAAAATCGGTAAAAAAACTTTTAAGTTAAACGGTTTTATTTTATGTGCACTGAAAACTACAAAATAAATAAATAGTTACTTACCTATTAACCTACGTAGGTGATCTCGGTCATTAATATCTCTGATGGTAGTGGTTGTCATAACATGAACCATGTCAGCGGCCGAAAGGCAGTTCATGAGAGAACACTAACACCAGGGTTTGCTTGGTAGGTAAACTAAGCAGCCCACACTATAACAAGTAGGTATTTTGACCTTCTAGTTCAGAAATATTTTAGTACTAGGCAGAATAGCTTTTAGGCATATTAGACTAAAATAAAAACGTGGGGCCCCTCTGAAATCATACCTATAGCAGAGCATATCTTATACTTTAGTAGATCATGAGCTCGGCGTTCGCTAGTGAAGCCGTAACGGCTGGTTATTGATGGTCAAAACCTCCAGTTACGATTATAGTAAGTCGATTCAGCGGACCCTGGACTCCGGAGCTATGAGGTTTCGAATGCGACCGGGATAAACCGCTAGGATGATGATGATGACGATTATAATAAGTCGATGCAATCCACACTTAGTATAGTAGAAAGTAATACAGAAATAGTTAATGGGCCCCACGTTTTTATTTTAGTCTAATATGCCTAAAAGCTATTCTGCCTAGTACTAAAATATTTCTGAACTAGAAGGTCAAAATACCTACTTGTTATAGTGTGGGCTGCTTAGTTTACCTACCAAGCAAACCCTGGTGTTATTGTTCTCTCATGAACTGCCTTTCGGCCGCTGACATGGTTCATGTTATGACAACCACTACCATCAGAGATATTAATGACCGAGATCACCTACGTAGGTTAATAGGTAAGTAACTATTTATTTATTTTGTAGTTTTCAGTGCACATAAAATAAAACCGTTTAACTTAAAAGTTTTTTTACCGATTTTTATTTAGAACGACTTTAAAAAGAAAGTTCTCGATTCGATTATATTTTTTTTTATGTTTGTTACCTCTTGTTTTATGCAACTTAGAATGGCAAACAAGCTGACGGTCCACCTGATGGATAGTGGTAACCGTCGCCTATAGACATGAGCAGTACCAGTACCTACGGGCGAAACAGAGTATACTGTTTCACCCATGATACCCCCCATGCGTTACCATTCTTGAAGACTAAAGTGTTATTTTTAATGGATGATAATGGAATGGTAACTCCGCCTGCGCTAACGGTATACGCTGGCGGGGCACTTCTCCCTCACTGGTGCCCCGTCAGCGTTTACTGTTAACGTAGGCGGGGTTACCATAATAGTATCATCCATTAAAAAAAACTATTGTAGACTTCCATTGACTAGGGTGACGAATAAAATAAAGCATGCGCCCTGCCTGATTATAACTCTCGCGCTTTATGGACTCGTCTTATTAATATAATCAAATCGTATCTAATTGATGTCTGTACATGGAAGGTACATAAGAAAAAATAGTATTGGAGGTCTTAATAAAAGCAATAGATCTCAAAATAATAATTTTTGAAAAATTTCATCTGTCTGGCTGTCTGTATATTTGTTCCGGAATAACGCAAACACTACTGCACCAAATGGAATGCGGTTTTCATGTCTGTATTCCTGCAGGTCGAATTTCCAATCTGATATATGATTTATCTTGATACGCTTTCTAGAATTGGTTTATTACAATTGTTCTATTTACTTTTGAAATCCAGGCGTACGAAGTAACGGGAAAAAAGCTAGTATATGATATAACAATATATATTATTCATGTATATAATATTTATTGTGTATAGGTATACATTAGTTGTTATTTCTTTACCTATCCCAATAATGAAGTACCGCGTTCGTGATTCACTGTTCATCCCAAAGGTTGAATGATAGAGAATGCTATTAGCATCAAGTCCGCTTTTTATACCATATTTTTCTTTAAACAATAAAAATCCAGTGTGGTCCCGGCATAGAATAGGCAACCACTTCCTTTCCCGTGAGTATCGTTAGAGGCAACTAAGGGGTGGCTAGAGATGGGCAGCAGCATCTGTCTTAAAACCCCTTCAAAGCCTAACTGCGGTTGTCAATCCGCTTGCCAAGTGTGCCAACTACTGGCAAAACCCTTTAGGGGTAGGCGCATGTTCTACAGTGAACAGTTAAGGGCTGACACGATGATGACGAATAAAATTATTTAAATAATATACTGAACAAACAACCATCTGAACGAGTGGCGCTCCTCCACCGTGCGTTTTTCAAGGCACTTTCTTCCACGCACAACCACTCTTTGGTATCAACTTCCAGCAGCAGTATTTCCGAACCGATACGACATCATAACCTTAAAAAAAAAACATATTCCTTTTTAAAAGGCCGGCAGCACACCTGCAATGTCTCTGATGTTGTGAGTGATCATGGGCGGCGGTAGTCACTTATCATCAGGTAAGCCGCACGCTCGTTTGCCCCCTGTGTTGTAAAAAAATAAATAAATAATCGGATCGTTGTCGGATCGTATACTATAAAAGCAGTGACCGCTGCTACTGGGCTACGCAAAACCCGTTTCTAAAATATATTAAAGTTAAACTTTAGTATTTGTATGCGCGTTGCTTTTTGTTTCATTCTCAACGGCGATAAATAACATACTGATTTCATCGATAACACCGGATTATAGAAGGTTTATACCGATTAATCGTACGTCGATTTACGAGTCGATTATTTTAAAGGACCGAGTTTTAATTGACTTTTTTTATACCACTGAAGTGGCAATCTAGCATACTTCCCATCTGATGGTAAGTGGTTACCGTAGCATATGAACACCTGCAATACCGGTGGTGTTACGCGCGTATTGCCGACCCTCTTTACCTCCTCTTTGAAGAACCCCATGCTGTAGTTTCTCGGGAAAACCTCAGCAGGGAGCATATTCCATAACCTGAGTGTTCGTGGGAGGAAACATCTCTGAAACCGCGCAGTACGCGACCATTGAGGCTGTAGGACATGAGGATGAACTCCCTATCGATGGCGAGCCGTATGATGGTAGAGATTGGCCGTGGACATTTTTTATCTGAAAGGAATTTTTTTTTATACAATTTAGAATAGCAAACAAGCTGACGGCCCACCTGATGGAAAGTGGTAACCGTCGCCTATAGACATGAGCAGTACCATGGACATAATAGAGTATACTGTTTCGCCCATGATACCCCCCTAATGCGTTGCCATTCCTGAGGACTCAGGTGTTATTCCTCTGTACCCAGTAAATTCACGCCATATCCCACCCTTCAAACCGAAACACAGCCATGCAGACACAACTTTAGCTTTACGGTTGAAACACGAATGGGACAGAGGTACCCAAGCAAACGACTTTTGTACAAAGTCTCCCTCTGGTAATCGACTAAAATTTATGAAATTAATCTTCTCACATTTTGTTGTAACCTTCTAAATCCCTTTACGGAATTAAATTAAAATCTAATAGAGCCTAATTATATCAAGTTAGAATTAATAGGCTTACCTTCCTCAACGAAGTTGCTTCATAATTAATTAAAGTTCCATATTATTCACGTTATACAATACTAGCTCTTACCTGCGACTTGTTCTGAGTGACCGGGGTATGTTGGGGGAAAGGGATTGTTAGTAATGGGATCTAACAGCCCGTTTGCCAGTAACATATTGTGTGTGTTTTTCAAGGCACTTTCTTCCACGTACAACCACTCTTTGGTTCATCGATCGGGATGAAAAGCAGCCTATATTCCTTTACATCCCTTATAGTATGTATATAAAAAAAAAAAAACTAAACATATATGCAAAAGAATTGTTAGTGATTGGCTATTAAGTAAGACATATGATGAAACTGAAGATTTATTATTAGTAGTATCTTAGGTTACGACTGCCATTTTACAATAACTCATCCATTCCATACATTCACAAATTACACAGTCAAGATTTCATTTACAAAATATTATTTGGACAAATTAAATTATTACTGTATTAGTACCTTAACTTGTATTGTTTCTTTTTTATATAATTTTGTGTCATTATGCCGTATAGGGAAGAGCACTGCTTATCCTAAAGTACAGGATTTACCTATTTAGGGAGCAGGGTTTTACCTATATTTAAAATGTAACATTTATTTTGAAATAAATTATTATTATTATTATTATTACATACCAAATTTTATAACGATTGGTTGAACTATTATGAAGTTACGAGGATTAAACAAACAAACTCACTTTCTACAGATGGGCAAAGCACCGGGTTTAAACCCGGTGCTTTGGTAAAAACCCAATAAACACCCATAAACTCCCATAATCACCCAAAAAAATAGGTTTTTACGTATTTTTTTGAAAATATGTAAGTAATACCAATAAATTATTTTTATAAATTGTATTGATCAATTCTACAATATTAAATAAAACGTTAACTAATAATATTTCAGGAAATTTTAAAAATCTATATATAATAAAATGAAAGTAATTAATTTTCAGTGTTTTCATGTTGCAGTTGATCAACATGTTGGCCTTTTGCTTCCCGTAGATACTTTAAAATTTCTTCATAACACCTCGTTCGCACCCATGGCCGTATATATTTAAATTCTTGAGCCACTAACAGTCCGAAATACTCATTTCTTTTATCCTCTTCTCCATAAATTAAGCATTTAGAACAGTTTGTTTCTTCTTTCAGTAAATTTTCTTTTACTTTATCCTCGTTTTTTTCTTTGTTGCGACGACGCTGGGTAAATCATCTGGACACTGGGTCTCACTATCGCCAAATATATTTGGAGATCGGCTTCGGCTACGGCTTGGCAGACATTTTTTTCTTTCTACAATTTTAAATTAAATTTATTAGAATAAATGCTTCGAACACACGCGATCTAAGTACCTTTTGTGTTTATTATACCTTACCTACCTAGGTATAAAAAGAGTACTTACGTAGATTTTCTTTTATTAACTGTTTTATACGAAGATCTTGATCTCTCAAATTAGCATCCATTTTACTTCCAGTGATTATCAACTAAATTAATAATCCACAAAGTATTAAATAACGTTTTTATGAAATATTTAGCACAAAAACAATACCCTTTAAATATCGATCGTCAGTAACTGTGGCTGACTTACCTATATTCTAGCAAGCAGGACTGCCAGATGTGAAGGGGAAATCCCCAATAAATTGTTGCATGTGACTGATGATGTGAGCATGTTCGTTTCATAATAAAAATGTTGCCAGGTAACCAAAAAGTCGTATGTTTTTGTGCGAATTACGATCATAATCTTTACGATCGTACATTAAAAAATAGACAAATAATAGTATGAGTACAATTTAAATCGTATATCTGTCAACCCTGCTAGCAAGACAGCGACAAAATCACGTTGCATAACAATGTAGCCCAAGCTTATATCTTATGAAATATACGGAAGAGATACGGACTTAGAAAAAACAGAAATGTTGTTCTTTGTGGAAGTCATTGATGAAATTCTATGTATTTTAGCCCGCAAACTTTCTTCAAACAAAAACAGCGCCATCTAGTATCGAGTTCTGTAATTATCTCTTTGTTTATGGATTTGAAGTAAGACCGCCACGCATGCAATACATTATGACTGGGGATTCCCCTATTCGTCGACGCTGAATATGAGGCGACGACAATCACTGTCAAACGTGTTCACTATTACTCTGACTCTGGTAACGTGACTTCCTGGTAACGTGTTAGGTAGGAAAAGCAGTAAAAAAGTGCATATTAAGGGAGCAGATTTGAAATAATATTTATACTTAACAAGAAATAATTAAAGGTAAGTGGATTTTTGAATGATACAATTATATCATGATCACTTAACAATTTTAACTTAAAATTAGATGTATTATTACAAGCTTTTATTTAGCTTGCGTTATGTAAATAAAAGTATGTAGGTATGTTCGTATGTTGATGCAATTATCCTCAATCCTCAACCGACTGGGATAAAATTTTCCATACACGTTTATTTTGGATGATAGTGCATAGTTAGCTGAGAGTCGTCATTGGATAATAATGGTGGATAGCCTAAGATGTGTACTAGATATTTATTTTTAACATAATATGCGTAAGTACCTAATCGAATTAAAGAAGTTGCTGAGAAAAATACAGAACAATACGATAATAAACTAGCGTCTGCGTTTAATCCTCCGAGGAGATGTAATTTTACAAAGGTTTTTTGTATTTATTTTATTATTTTTTTAATAAATTTATTGTAAATAACAAGAAATAATCATTGTAAAAAAATAGGCACTCTATTGTTGAATTTTCGTCAGACCAACTAATCATCGTTCATTTTTTTAGGTTCAATGGGGAGACCTAAAGATTTACGCATATGGGAGCACTACCGTACTTTACCAAACAAGTCTGTTTCTTGCAAGCTTTGTAATAAGGTCTACAAATTCAGTAATGCTGCCAAAATGCTTCAACATCTTATCACTTGTCCAAAATCTCCAGAAACATTAAAAGACTCTATGAAACTTATAAAAGATAGCTCGTCCAAAACCAAAATGTCTGGACTGTCAGAGATAGAGACAAATGATTCTTTTATAAGCCCCTCGTCGTCTGCTAACACTACAATAAATGCTGAGTTTCAAGACACCGATGATCATATAAAAACAGAATTAGCGAGAGCTATATTTGTAACAGGGACGCCATTATCGATGGTGCAACATCCTTTATGGATACAATTTTTCGAAAAATTGCAACCAAAATTTAAAATACCTTCACGTAAAGCTTTAGCGACAAAATACTTAGATAAAATATATAGAGAAATGCGTTTTGAGTTAAATGAGGAACTAAATGCTTGTAGTTACTTACACCTTCAGTGCGATGGCTGGTCTAATTTAAGAAATGAAGGAATAATAAACTTTCTTATATCAAAACCTCAACCTGCATACGTTAAAAGTTTGAATACAGAAAGTAATCCTCACACTAGTGAATACCTTAGCCAAGAAGTTGAAAAAGTAATGAAAGTGTATGGAGCAAATAAGTTTCTTGTACTTATTGGCGATAACGCTAGAAATATACAAAAGGCATTCGAATTAACAAAACTCAAATATCCACATGTTGTTCCTCTCGGTTGCTGTGCACATATCCTTAACTTGTTGTGCCAAGATATTGTAAAGATACAAGAAGTAACTGTGTTTATTATGCAAGCCATAAATATAATAAAAACTGTTAAAAGGAGTCAACGATTAAGTTCCTTGTTGATAAAATCAAGGCAGGGTGAAGATTCTACACAAACACTAAAATTGCCTTGTGCTACAAGATGGGGAAGTCATGTTACTTCGTTAAAAAGTTTGAAAGCAAATAAGATAGCTTTGCAAATATTAACAGTTAGAGAAGATGTGGTAATTTCAAGAGATATTAAAGATTTAATTCTAAGTGATGATTTCTGGACGAAGACAGGGGAATGTATAAGTATTTTGGAACCAGTCACTGAAAGCATATTTTACTTAGAGAGCGACCAGAATCGTTTGCATCGCACATACATTACATTTAGAGATGTACAAGCTAAGATACGTTTTGCATTAAATGAGATTTCGACATTGAGCGAAGAAAGCAAACAGCAGATTCTAACATCAGTATCTTCAAGATGCAATATGGCAATGAGGCCAATACATTTTGCAGCATATATTCTAGACCCCAGGACTCTAGGAGTCGAACTTACTCAAGAGGAAGAACTTAAGGGTATGGAGTTTATCTACAATTTAAGCCAACACTTAAGTTTGTCAAATGTAATGGCAGATTTGGCGTGTTATAAAGCTAAAGAAAACTTTTGGGCCAGAGGATTTGTATGGAGCTCATTAGATAGCATTGAGCCCCTAATATGGTGGAAAGGTATTTGTGGTTCCACTGAGTTAAGAAAAATAGCGATTCGTATTCTATCAGCTCCCTGTACTTCGGCAGCCACTGAGCGTTCCTTTAGTATCCAAGGCTACATACATAATAACAAAAGAAATCGACTTACAACTGAAAGAACTGAAAAAATTTCATTCATTTGTTATAACTGGAATCTTAAACATAAAGCTGAATGCGAGGACATTCAGTTTAATGAAGAAAATACCTTAGAAGCTTTCATTGAGCAAGTAAATGAACATAACAGTTTAGACGAAATAGAGCCTATCGAACCTATACAATTCATCGCTTGTAATAACTCTGAATCTGACAGTGATTGACTGTAGTTTTACATTTTACTTTCATCTCTTTCTTAATAAACTCAAAATCAAATTAAAAGTTTTTTATTCTGTAGGCTGCATAATAATATTGTCTATGTCCAGTATAGTGGACGTCTTGCGGCTGAGATGACGATGATGAAGTACAAAATCATAAACACCCAAAAATTTGGGTGTTTATGGGGTTTAAACCCAATAAACCCAAAACACCCGGTTTTTACCCACCAGACTTTAAACCCACCCAGGTGGATTGCCCATCTCTATCACTTTCACATTGGACATTAGTAAGCACGTGCGTGCGTGCGTGCGTGCGTGCGTGCGTGGGAGCGTGTGTACATGACTGAAGTCAGTTCCACGGAATAAAACAGGTTTTCTCAAGACCCGCCAGTTGGTAAGGCGAGCGAGGTAGGAGCCTCGGGGCATACCCCATTGCCCCAGCTTCAACTCCGCAGGCTACCACCTCCGGGTCACTTGGTTTTAAGCCGACGGATGGTATGTGCATGTCGGCGTAGCATCTCTTCTCTCTTCTTAAACGCTGTTGCTGGAGGTTCCTCCAGCACAGCCACGTTTACATACATTTTTTTATTGTAATAAATAATTCTTATAAATTAAGAATAACAAGTGTTAATAAATAGATACTGTTAAGGAGCAAAATATATGCCTAATTTTTTTTTTAATAATCCCTATCTAGCGATAATTTCACGTGATATTAACAGATCTGTTGATCACCGCGTAAATAACCAAAACGGTAGTAATAAGTAGTTTATTGCTAATAAATTCGAGTTAATAAAGTGTTAACCGTTATCTTGATTATTAGGTTATTGAGGGCCAAGTTTTGTGGTCACTGCATTATGATATGACTTTATAAAAGTATATTAATTAAAATAGAAAAAAAAATTTGATAAATTCACGACTATAATCCTTTGTGTTAGTGGCAGGTGGTTTTTGTCGACTGTCGCTGTTGTCGTGAGAGTAATACTCGATGTGTTCATAGTGTGAATTAGTGCGTCATACAATGAAATTAATGCCAAATTACCTACCTGAAATTGATATAGTGTATGATAATTCGAATTCCTACATAGTTAATAGAAAATATTTTTTACAATATTAATGAGTTTTTGTAAGCTATAAATGCTGTGACATTGACTTAGTTTGAAATTTAAATTGTAATTTTTATTTTATTCGACATTTTTATCATTTTATTATTTATAGTAGCTTTATTGACTGTTTGTAATGCATGACCAAAGTGGCACTTCGTACTAATAGTGATTTATTGTATATGTAATTGAAAATTAAATATATAATGTACCTGTATAAAATAGCCAATGGATAAATTCAATAATTAATATTTGCATGCCATTCGATGTGGCGAAACATAATGGACATCTTATAAACTTCACAAATGCAACACCTTTTCTACAATGTTTCTAGCAAATAAATTTCATTTCATTTCATTTCATTACAGGAATAAATTGCTGAAGCACTTTGTACAACAATCTAATGAAAATTAACTCTAATTATCATAATATATATATTTTTTTAAATATTTTTTAATTCAATTCACTCATAATCGTATTTTCTGATATTGCTCACAACTTGGGTTACATGTTTGTTTTTATTATTTACTTAATTTTCTCGCACTGTATAACTATGTTAAAGTGAATGCTGTGAATACCTTTAATAGGCGTGTGCATTAATATTGTATTGTATTTAATGTTTGTTATACCTATATGTTATAATGCAATATGCTGTTTGTGTTCCTTAAATCAATAAATAAATAAATGTGTTTTATATGTGACGGGAGTTAACGTAAATCAAACAATAATTATAATAATTAGTTTATAAAAAAAAATACTATTAAAAAATGCTTATTGTTGTTTACTTCATTCTCGGCTAATTTGCCATTTTTCTCAGACAACCCGTCTCAAAAACCTTTGGAAAAAAGAAAGCTGAGATCCCAACCCCTTTTATTGCGTGTGTGCATGCAAATATGCATACACATATATTACTACATATATATTATTTTTATGCTTCATAGCTCTATACGTGTGTGTGCGTGTCTGTAGCGGTGTGATGTGGTACATCTTATAAGTTTAGAGTAATTATTGTATTTCCTAGTACTTTACATATTATGGTCGAGGAATGCATGGCTGCTTGTCAAAAATGCTTATAAAAACATATCTCCATACTTCATCTTTTGTTTTATATTTGAAAAAATGTAAATAATCTGATTGTATAAAACTTATTTGTTAATTTACGTATGTCATAAATGGCTCAAATAAAGTGTAATAGTTCAATAAAATTTGTAATATTTAATGACAAATTCAAATAATTTTTGTTCAAATAGATTTGTTAACAAGTACTTTTTACCAGAGGTAGACTTTGTACAAACGTCGATTGCTTGGGTACCTCTGTCCCATTCCTGTTTCAACCATGAAGCAGCAGTGTTTACATGGCTGTGTTTCGGTTTGTAGGGTGGGATATGGCGTGAATTTATAGTGTACAGAGGAATAACATCTGAGTCTTCAGGAATGGCAACGCATGGGGGTGTCATGGGCGAAACAGTAGGTGGGCCGTCAGCTTGTTTGCCATTCTAAGTTTTATAAAAAAAACTTTTAATTTTTTTTTTTTTATGAATGCAGGGTTCGGAAAGTTGTCATCTGTTGATGATGATGAGCATCACAAAAAAATACGGGATAATTCAATCATTTATATATATATATATATATATATATATATATATATATATATATATATATATATATATATATAACTCGTATTGTTATAAACGGAATATACAGCATCCCAGACTGAACTCTGTACTTTTTGGTATGCTTGTTTGTTATTTTAGTTTTTATGGTGAAGATAAAAAAATTAAAAAAAAATTCACTATGTATTATGCAAAGAAATAATTGAGAAACGCCCGTTTCCAAATAATAAAACCACTTTTTTTTTTTAAAACACTATTAGTCATTTGACAATACTAAATTGGAACCGAGCACCCGAATGAGTCATCGAGTGTTAATTTAGATATATTTTATTTGTATCCGTACTCACGTGCACGTGTTTCTAGATATAAGAAATTAATTATCTGACTGGAAGTGTCTATTGATCAGTAGTAAATACTTTTAATTTATTTATTTATTTATATAGATAGATAGATAGATACTCTTTACTGTTTCCACCAAAAGATTACAATAGTAAACTTATTATAAATATAACAATAATATATTATTATTATTATTAAATTTTCAAATTAAAAGATAGGTTTAGAGAAATGGTGCCTCAGAATTGGTTCTTTCACGAGTAATTACTATTTTAACACAAACATGCTTCGTATCGGTTATTCATTTAGATTTAGATCTATGTTCTGGTGTCCAGTAGCGATGACTCACCGGCAACCGAGTCGACTTTCACCCGTTTGCTATAGTCGATTACAACGGCAATTATTAATCGAATCGAACTTTGGGTGTCTTATGTCATTTTTATGGCACAAAGTGCATTTATTGCACTTATGTGTAACCATAGCATCCTTACTAATGTTATAAACTAGCTTTTACCGGCGACTGCGTTCGTGAGACAAAAAGTAACCAATGTTCATCTCTACTTAAAATAAATATTACATTTAATACTAAACTCATTCAATCCCGCGGTTTTGCCCGTGGTTGTATCGAGATATTATTTTTTTATACAACTTAGAATGTCAAACAAGCTGACGGCCCACTTGATGGAAAGTTGTAACCGTCGCTTATAAACATGAGCAATGCCATGGACATAACAGAGTATACTGTTTCGCACATGAATCCCCCCCATGCGTTGCCATTCCTGAGGACTCAGGTGTTGTTCCTCTGTACCCTGTAAATTCACGCCATATCCCACCCTTCAAACCGAAACACAGCCATGCAAACACAACTGCTTTACGGAAAAACGAATGGGACAGAGGTACTCAAGCAAACGACTTTATATATTAGTGATGCGGACAGGGATTGTCCCATTGCTAGCAATATACCCTATCAGGTCGACCTCTCCGTGGTTCCCCCTGGAAACCATCGTGCTGAATTTCAGGTGTATTCATCACGATGGGCTAACTGACCTGCTTTTTCATTCTCACCTATCATCTCTCACTGGTGCCTCGCCAGCGTATACCGATAGCACAGCCAGGGTTACCATTCCATCGTCATCCATTGAAAAAAACTTATATAAATGTTAAAATGAAGGAGTAAAACGAGATTCCTTGGCCATTTTTGTCGCGTGCCTATGACTAGTGACAAAGTGACATCTGTACACAGGTTCAAAGCACATAAAATTAAATAATAACACCTCAACTGGTAGGTGTACGAGCAAACAGAAATATGGAAGGGTGTGGTCACAGTTTGAGCGTTTATAATTGGCGAATTATGCATACAATTAAATTATTTTACAAACGGGAAACATGCTCTGTTTGTTACAGCAGTCCATAAGAAAGAGTCGACACCTCTGTCGCTCCCCTCTCGCGGGCTTGGAGTGCCATCAGCACTCGCCCCTGCATTCGCGTCCGGTGAAGCTGTAAAGGCCACACACGGCCAACAGCAAACACATTCAGAAAAAAAAAAATGTTTGTTACAAAATATGATGCTGTCAATGTAAAGGACACTGAGAAAAGAAGAAGAAGATGGTTCCGTACAAAATCATCAAGTTTAAAGAATTTTTTTTTTGCGAAGTAATTACAAATTTACGGTTTACGGATTTTTTTCCTTTACTCGTGCTACATGACATTGCTTCTTGCCAAATTTCATGATTCTAGGTCAACGGGAAGTACCTTACATACTTTTACATATAAATATATATGACATATTTGTATACATACTTAATTTAGTATTTAATAAGTATTTATTATTACCCATTGAATATATTTGTGTTTGTGTAAATATTTGTGTAAAAAATACACTAGATTTCAGTATAGAAGAGAATTTTTAAATATGTATCAGTAAGTTTCGGTTTCGGTTTCGGCCGAAACTGAGAAGGCCGAAAGTTCGGCTTCGGTTTCAGCTGTAAAACCTGTTTCGGTCGTACACTAATTATTATTATATTTATTTAAATATTTTTATAAAAATTCGAATACCTGAACACGATGTCTTCTAACATCGATCAACGCTTCTCGACCTCGATATTTCTTTAACAAACCAAAAAAAAAAAGAAGAAAACGAAAATAAAAATGAAATATCATCCAATAAAACGTCATCTTTATTAGAGATGATAGAAAAAAAGCGACCACAAATTG